TTTTGCACACTAATTGTTACTGTGATTCATCAATCATGAGAAATGGATGGGACTCGTTTGTGAGATGAAGATTGTCCTTCACTTCATATAACAACATAAACAAAGCGGAAATCCCTAATCAATATAAAATACGCTAGAAATCTAACAGGACTCATTTGAGATGTAGAAACAATCCACATAAAACAATTAAGTATGAAAGAAAGGCGTCAATATCAGTGGAGTGCTCGCAAACGCTTACGTTACAAAATCTGATAGCTGACTTGTAAAACCCTCCCGTTGCTTTTTCTCGGTGTAAGGTTAGAAAGCAAAAGACCGTAAATGAATCAAAGCACTGAGAAAACGAAGAAAACGAAACTCACCAATTAAAGTGAGCCAGGCAAGCGAGAATAAATCGGTATACAAACCAAAACAAAAAGCAGAACCACTTCATGTCCGACTGTAAGAAGCTTCTTTGACCATGCCCGCTAGGATACTCGATTAAGGTAAATGGCTTGCTCTATAATAAATTCATGCATTAGGAGCTATTTCCAAGGGAGTTGAGAGCCTTTTCTGCTTCGAACAAATGACTACAAGAAATCAACTGATTACGGTTCTTCAATCACCGTATAAACTTCAAAATGTAATCCGAGCCACAGATTGTCACTTTTCTACTAAGAATTCGAGAATCTCTTGAAAAAGGGAGCAATAAACAGTCCAAACAGTTTTCTTCACTGAAAATGGGACAGAAATCATAGAAATTGTATTTGTAGGAACTGGCGGTGCTTTGACGCGTGTCGCGGCGCAGCCTCAGTTGGGGCGCGGCGAGTTCAACCCTTCAGAAGGCAGTAGGTTCATGAGTTCTCGGGACCGTTCCCGCTTGCCTCCTTTATTGTAAAGAGCTCCAGTGCTCTGTTGGCAACCTCTGTTAAACAGAATAGGAAGTCAGGGTTAGTAGATGCGAGCAATTCGAACTGAAAAACAGGAAGGTATTCCTATTGGGCGACTGGTTGTAAAATTCAGTGGAGGGGTTTCTTTGATTACTGCTTGCGGCAGTCGTCGTATAGGAAGATTCGAAGTTGTTTTTTTGGAACTGACATCATATCGAACATATCTTCTTCTTCTTCCTTTTTTCAACCAGCGTTAGTCCCGCGTCGTCGCAGGGTCCGTTGTAGGGTGGCACGAAAACGTTATTGTCCCCGTTTGGGAACAAGGGAGTCCTATTGATTGCTCGCTGAAGTTTTACCCTTTTTTGGGTCGTGTTTGTGATGGGTACATGGTGGCTATGAGCAAGCGTTATTAGGCAAGCACAAGAAGCCCCGTATCAGCGGTGTACGGTATTTATACCCAGCTGATACGGGTGGCAAATATAATGGGGTTATCAAAGATTGAATGGTCACAATTAATCTATGGAGGTATCAGCGGTCAAAGGGTGTGGTAAACAGTATGGACTTATCAAGATTGAAGGGTCGCGCAGAGCCAGACAGTTGTATTCAAAAGCTGAACTTAAATAACAGCTGAACTGTTGCTTATAAAGGGTTTCCTTAAATAAGCAAAAAGCACAGTCGGAAGGCGGTTGCTGGGCGATCCAGCTAGTATTGGAGTATGGAAAATAATGGTCCCGATAAATAGTATTAAGGCATAGTCGTTATAGCATAGACCAATAAATCAAACTTCGTTTTCCTTCTATGGTCATGACTTTGATCGGTCCGTCCTTACCCCTTCACTTACCGCCCATTTCTTGTCAACCAATTCCATCACCCCGCCTTATTCCTTGACAGATATAATTATGTCAAGGTTACATCATGTCAAAAATCAGCCTTTATCAGCCACCATCACTTTTTGTCATCCGTTATCTGCAATCTAGCCTCACAGATTGAAGCTGCAATGTGCTGCGGAAAAACAAGAAGAGGAAATGATTCAGAGAAAGTTATGAGCTTTAATCAGCTGTTACCGTTTCCTGCCATCAACTATCTACGATACCGTCACACCCTGTATCACACGCCATTGTGCTAAGGATCCACTGTTCATACGAAGGACGCTACAGATCCAGTGGATCTTGCCTGCTACGGCTCCTTATCAACCCCAATCAGCTGCTATCGATCTTTGTAAC